TATATATATATATATATATATATATATATATATATATATATATATATATATATATATATATAAAAATAAAGATTGTGGTGGGAGGAGAAAAACTTAATTGAGCCTGCTATTTCTGTCATTACAACCGTTAAGCAAATCACCATGTGACTGCACCCGATTTGACAACTTTTTTTTTTGAGGCAGTTGTTAAGTGAATCCTGCGGTCATTAAACAAATGCATCGTTTGCTATGAGATTTTTGCTGGTAGCCACAAATGTTGTAAATCACAGCCACGTGACTGTGCTCTGGCTATCCCAATAGCCTTGAACGGGTCTCCAACTGAGCATTTGCAGGCTGAAAACGTGAGGCGCGGATCCCAAACACGCAAGCCATTGTCTGGAGGCGGAAGGGGGGGGGGGACGGGGACGGCAGGTGGTCAGGGCTACATTCGGAGTATAAGACGCACCCAAATTTTCAGCCTCTTTTAGGGGGGGGAAAGTGCATCTTATACTCCGAAAAATACGGTAATACTTTTTAGGGTAATGGAACCTCTGCCAGGAAAAAAACAAGCACAGAGAGCACCAAGGACTGTTTGGTTTAGGTGATTCTGGCATAGGTTGAGGACCTGCTGTTTTGCCAGAGTCAACATGCAGATCTTGGACTCAGAGTTAATGAAGACACAGACGAGGTGAAAACTAAAGCGATTTATTGAAAAAGCCTGGAGGAGTGGCAGAAACTTAATTAAAGGATGATTCACAGAAAGGAGAGAAGCATTTGTCTGAAATGACATAGGATTTCCTGCTTGAGAAAGGCGGGGGTGGGGCTTGGACTAGAACAGGTGTCCCCAACCCCTGGGCCACTAACGGCATGCATGCGACTACGGGACTCTGCAAACAAGTGGTAAATGTGGGCTGATTGCTGAGCTCCCCAATGTGGTCATGGGGGGGCGGAGGGGGGCGCATCGGAACCTTGGAACAGGTCAAGTCTACCTGTAATCTTTATGCACACATTCACCATGTCCTTCTACTCTTCCTCCAGCAGGGGGCAGGCTGTTGAATGAACAGGAGCGGCCACCTCTCTGGGCCCAAGATTACCGAGAATCCGCCGGTAGAACGTCGCTCCCAAAGAACCAGGACGGCCTCTTGCCACGGCCTGGATTGGGCAAAATTTCGGAGAACGAGTTAATGAGGCCCGAAAGATCTTCAGGGTCCCTTCCGACCAAGAGAGGCTCCGAAGCGATCCCGTGCCGAGTGGGCTACAAAGATCTCGGCGGGCTCCTTTTCCAGGAGAGGATCCAAGAGAGCCCCCGGCAGAAGCGCTGCGTCGTCCTCCGCCGACGGATCCACACGGAGGAGCGTCTCTACAAGTGCCAGGATTGCTGGAAGAGCTTTGACCACCGTTCCCACTTCATCCGCCACAAGAAGATCCACACGGGCGAGAAGCCCTTCCAGTGCGCCGACTGCGGGAAGAGCTTCAACCGGAACTCCAACCTCACCACCCACATGCGGACTCACACGGGCGAGAAGCCCTACAAGTGCTTGGACTGCGGCAAGAGCTTTCGGTGGAGCTCGGATTTCATTGTCCACGAGCGGACTCACACCGGGGAGAAGCCCTACAGCTGCGCGGACTGCGGGAAGGCCTTCCGCCGCAGCTCCAACCTCACGGCCCACGAGCGGACGCACCGGGGTGAAAAGCCCTACAAGTGCTTGGACTGCGGGAAAAGCTTCACCCGAGGTCTCTACCTGATCGCACACAAAAAAACACACTCGGGGGAGTGAGCGGGGGCACAAGCGAGAGTTGGTTAGCGGCCCCTCCTCCTTGGACTTTTCCTGGGGGAGGAGAGTTCATCAAACGTCTCATCTGAATTGCATCCACGGCAATTTTCAGCTCATCTGGGAGGGCGGCGGTGGGGAACTGAAATGATCACTCCTGGGTTTGGGTTCAGGGCCCTGTCAGCATCTTCAGATGACCTGGTGCTGGATGAGATCCACAGTAGTCTCACTGCCATGCTAGGTTGGCTCACTGAAGTTGCCCCCCCCCAAAAAAGTCAGCTGGATTTCATTTCGGCAGATGGTCCTTCTCGCAAATCCCTCGCCCCCAAGCCCGATCGATCAGTTTGGAAAATGGGGCAACTCGGCCTACGATGACTCCGTTTGGGATGGCAGCTTCTCTCAGGACGTGACTCCCTACGGTGTGAGCAATTTGAATTGCCCGAAACCAAAATCGGGAGAGAGCTGGAAGTGAGCAAGGCCTTGTTAGGAAGACCAGTTATTCTGGGCCAGATGGTTTCTTCATCTTGAAGCTGAGGGAGAAAGTCTTTTGTCAAACTCCCGGCCTACAGGCTGGATGCGTCACATGCTGGCCACGCCCACAGCTGGTTCAGCGAACGGGGGTGGGGGAGTCCCAATATGTCATGTGACAACGACAGGAGTTTGACACCCCTGCCTTAAAGAGCAGGGATTTCCCTAACTTGGCAACTTTTAAGACTTGGGGACTTCAACTCCCAGAATTCTAGCATGGCTGGCTGAGGGATTCTGGGAGTTGAAGTCCACCAGTCTTAAAAGTGGCCATGATTTAGAGCAACCATTGCTTCTTCAGCTGAAGATGACCATTAACGCCCAGTACCAGCTGCCTTTAGCGCGTGTCAGACGGGGGCTGTTTGCACCGAAGAGAAACCTTTTGGGATTTAGATACAGAAAGCACTGCCTGGCTTTCGTCTTTTGATCTGCTTATCATGTACCAGCTAGGAAGTAGAACATCACTGTTTGGTGATTTTGGTTCTCATGTGATCTCTTGGCTGCAGCCCACCCCCTTTGCATTATGGGCACAGTAGTACCAATTTACCATATATATATATGGCAGTGTTTCTCAACCTTGGAGGTTTCAAGATGTGTGGACTTCAACTCCCAGAATTCCCCAGCCAGCAAAGCCGCCCAAAGTTGAGAAACATTGCCATATGCTCGCTCTGAGGATCACTCTCTTATTTCAAGATAAATATATGTGAAGGGCTTTGATTGCTCAAAAGGGCTATGCAAAGGCCAAGNTAAAATGTAATAGAGAGAATTATTTGTATGAAAATATAAAGTTGGGATGGCGGAAAAGCCATCCCGAGAACCCGTCAAAGAAAGTAAATAAGGGCAACAACGGAAAGGAGGGGGATGAGGAGGGAAAGGAAGAAAGGGTAAAGCAGAAGAAGGAAGGGTGGAGAGAGGTTAAGGAGGAGGAGGAGGGGGAGAAAGAGAGAGGAAGAAGAAAGGAGGAAGGAAGAAGGCAGAGAAGAGAGGTTGAGAAGAAGGAAGGAGCAAGGTTGTTGCAAAATAAGATGGAGGCAAGAAAGTGACCCAAGCTGTATTATATATATGTTTGTAAAAATAATTATAGAGACTAGTGATGAACAGACAAATGTTAAATAGCAATTATAAGAATGTTTATTTGTGAATGGATTTGAAAGGCAAAAAAAAAAAAACCTTAATAAAAAAAATGATGGGCCGTAAAATGGGGCAAAAATGCACTTAAACAAATGTCTCGCTTGGTAATGAAAATTTTGGGCTCAAATTGCCGAGGACTACCTGGGTCAAGGGATTGTCTTGGGCAGAAACCAACCATCTTAGATGGCTGCCCTTATGCAATTTTATGCAATACGATTGCTGGGTATTTATTTATTTATAGGGGGGAAAATGTCCAGACCAAACATAATTTCTAATGTTGGATTTTCCCTCTTACCAGAGGGAGCCTCCTTGTGGAGTACTGTGCAGACGTTACCATGGCAACACCACTGCGCTGTACAGTAGAAGCCAGTATGGCACAACAGGCTGTATCTTAACAGAACATACACCCCGATAGGTGTTAGGGGTGTCTTTCCCCCCCCCCAGTATTTGTTTCCAGAGAGTAAGTCATCTGTGTACCAAATTTGGTTGAAATTGCTTGAGNCCCAGAATTCCCCAGCCAGCATTCGCTGGCTGGGGAATTCTGGGAGTTGAAGTCCAGACATCTTCAAGTTGCTAAGGTTGAGAAACACTGCTCTGTGCTATCTTGTCCTCTGATACCGAGCCCTGGCTGAGTGTGTTCTCTTTGTCCATGGGTTAATAACACATGAATAACCCAAAGGTGCTTTTTTCCCCCAAGAGCCATCTGAACTTTCTGTTTTGTCTTTGACGATATTTTTCTCCTCATCCAAGAAGCTTCTTCAGCTCTGACTGGATGGTGGGGAATGGAAGGATTTAAATTCCTTGCAGGCAGCTGGTCATTTGCATCCTTTTAAGAGAGCCGTTGAGGCCACTTGGAGTCCCAACAGTGGTTATCAAGAGGCACCTAGACTTTTTTGTTTTCTCTTTGAAGACATTTTGCTTCTCATCCAGGAAGCTTCAGCTCTGACTGGATGGTGGGGAAGGGAAGGATTTAAATTCCTTGCGGGCAGCTGGTCATTTGCATCCTTTTTAGAGAGCCGTTGAGGCTACTTGGAGGCTTATCTTTTAGCTATACAATTTGGGATGAACACCCTGTGAATGGTATGGGAGTAGGAATGGATTTCCTGAGGAAACAAAATTGCAGACTACAGGAACCAGGAGCACCAGTCAGGTGACCCTGAGGACACAGATAAACCTCCAAGTGGCCTCAAGGACCCTCTAAAAGGAGGCAAATGGCAAGCTGTCTGAAAGGAGTATCAATCCTTCCATTCCCCACCATCCAGTCAGAGCTGAAGAAGCTTCCTGGATGAGAAGAGAAATGTCTTCAGAGAAAAAACAGAAAGTCCAGGTGCCTCTTGAAAAAGGACCTTTGGGACAACCGTGACCTTGGATGACGGAGCATCTCCATAGACACATGAATAACTTTTTTTGCTTTTCTTATATCTCCAGATTGCTGAAGGACCCAATGCTGCTTATTTTCAGCTGCTGAATTTATTTGCCTATGGAACCTACCCGGATTATGTTGGTAAGAGTGTGCTGGAACTATAGAAAACTTTGACCTGGTGTAGGTAATATATACGATATTTTTCGGAGTATAAGATGAAACTTTTTCCCTCAAAAAAAGAGGGTAAAAATCTGGGTGCGTCTTCTACACTGAATACAGCATTTCTGGTCTCCAGAAACCCCTCCCCTTTTTCCAAAAATGGCTGTTCATAGCCTTTAGGAAGCTCCTAAAGTGCTCCTGGGGGCTGAGGAAGGCAGAAATGAGTGAAACATGCGCCTTTTTTCCCCTCGCTTTTGCTCCTCCAGCCCCCAGGAGCACTCTATAAGCCTCCTAAGGCCTATGTATGCTCTTTTTTGGATGAAAAATGTACCTTTTTTGCTCGTTTTTTTGGGGGGGGGGCAGGAGCACTCTACAGGCCTCCTAAATGCTATGCATGCCCTTTTATTTGACAAAAAAAAAAACGTTTTTGGGAGGTCTGCAGAATGCAAAAACTAAATTTGTCTCTTCAAAATCTTGGCGTGTCTTGTACTCTGCCTGGATGGCTCCTAGGGTGAGCCGATAGACAGAAAAGGGAAGCAGTATGCTCCCTCCCATGTTTGGGTATACCAGGAGTTATGACACTATATATATATATATGTATATATATGTGTGTGTGTGTGTGTGTGTGTGTGCGCGTGCGCGCGCGCGCACTGATAAATACTTAAAGGGAGACTTTCTGTTGTGATGGTCTCTTGTGATGAGCCGATAGACAGAGAAAGGAAGCAGTATGCTTCCTCCCATATTTGGGCATACCAGGGGTTGTGACACAATACATACATACATACATACATACATACATACATACACATACATACACACGCAAATATATATACATATATATATATATACACACACATACAAATATATATACATATATATATATACATATACACACATATCTCTTTTATTGTCATTGTACAAAATAAATACAATGAAATTGCTTAGTAGCAATATCTGTCTGTCTCTCTAATGATAAAATTTATACAGGCAGTCCTCGACTTACAACAGTTCCTTTAGTGACTGTTCAAAGTTACAACGACACTGAAAAAAGTGACCTAGGACCATTTTTCACACTTAACGACGGTTGCAGCATTCCCAGGATGACGTGATCAAAATTCAGATGCTTGGCAACTGGTTGACCGTTGCAGCGTCCTGGGGTCTCACTTGAGACTTTCAAGAAGAGATTGGACTGCCATTTGTCAGGAATGGTGTAGGGTTTCCTGCTTGAGCGGAGGGGGTTGGACTAGGTGACCTCCAAGGTTCCCCCCCCCCAGCTCTATTCTGATTGATCGACATCTTCTGACAAGCAAAGTCAGTGGGGAAGCCAGATTCGCTTAACAACCAAGTGACTAACTTATCGACTGCAGTGACTTGCTTAACAACTGTTGGCAAGCCAGGTTGTAAAATGGGAGAAAGCTCACTTAACAAATTCTCACTTTAGCAACGTAGATTTTGGGCTCAATTGCAGGCGTAAGTTGAGGACTACCTGTATAACTGCTCTTCTCATTAAAGCCAAATGCGGGTGACACACGACGATAAATGCTGTGTTTCTAAGCTTTGCCAGAAAATTTATTTCTCAAAATAATCCAGTTATGGTTGATTAAAGGAAAAGCACACAATATGTCTGTCGATTTCACTCTGCTAGGCTTAATCTGTTGTCCCGAGTGGCTTTACTGGTTGTGTACAATGAAGGAAAGGGACAGAGTAATAATACAATAATCTGAAATGGTATAGGGCCGGGATGGCGAACCTATGGCACACGGAGCCATTTTTCGGGGCACGCGAGGCGTTGTCAGCCAGCCAGCGCGCATGCATGCACTGGCAGCTGACTTCAGCCTTTTTTTGAGGCCATTTTTTGCTCTCCACAGGCTCCAGAGGCTTTATAGGAGCTTGGGGTGGACGAAAACAGCCTCCCCCACCCCGGAGGCCTTCCGGAGGGTTCAGGAGTTTTCCTGAAGCCTCCGGGGTGCAAAAAACCAGTCCTATGGGCTAACCAGAAGTTCAGAAACAGACTTCCGTTTTTTCTTGTAGGGCCAGTTTTAGCCCTCTGGAGCCTTCAGGGGCCTTCCGGAGGCTTCGCTGAAGGCTCCGGAGGACGAAAAATGGCCCTACGGACAAACCGGCTTACAGCTGTTTTCTGATTCTGAAATGGGATAGGATCTCCCGTTTGAGCAGGGAGCTGGATTGGAAGACCTCCAAGGTCTCTTCCATCTCAATTCTGATTCAGATGGTTGCCTTGTCCTCACTTAGCAACGCACAGTGATTTGCTTCACAATGGCAGTCAGGACTCCCAGGATTTCCATCACTTTTAAGAATATTGTGGTTTGTAGGAATGCATCGCTTAGTGGTGGAATTTCCACATTTCACCATCGTTAAATGAGGACAGCCTGTACTTGCATCTTAAAGCCCCTTCAAGTCCCCTCCCTTCTCTTCCTGTTGATAACTATGATTCCCCCCCAAAACACAGTGCCCCCTCTCTTCCAAAACGGCCTCGGGTTGGCAGTCTTTGACATTTGCCGGGGTGTTAAGGGGAAACGCAAGGACTTTTTGACCCCCAACATACATTCGGTTTCATCCGTAATCTAAGGGAGTTGTTGAAATTTGATTTCTCGGACAGCGAACCAGAGCAACCTGCCAGCTTTGACGGGGCCCCAGAAGAACAAGTTGAAGCATTTGACGATTGTCAGCTTAGCTTCCAGAATGAAGGTAAAGTAGAAAAGCTCTCAATTTAAAAAAAAAAGCAGAAACAAAAACCAGTTATTTTCTGCAGGGGGAGCCAGTGGCAGACATCCATGCAGAGGTCACCACGATGGCTCTGCTCTGTTCTACTGAAAGCTAGAGAGTAGATGCCCACTCGGGACTTCAGTAAGGAAATCAACCAATTGGCCAGATTGGAACTTTGGTGCCTGAAGTATTGCCCTTCTATTTAGCCTTTGGACATGGGCCTGTTAGACAGACTTTCTTTCTTTCTTTCTTTCTTTCTTTCTTTCTTTCTTTCTTTCTTTCTTTCTTTCTTTCTTTCTTTCTTTCTTTCTTTCTTTCCTTCCTTCCCTCTCTCTCTCATTTGTCTCTATCTATCCTTGGTATCCTTTATAATGCCTTGGTAAGGCCACCCTTAGAATACTGCGTTCAGTTTTGGTCATCACCACGATGTAAAAAAGATGTTGAGACCTTGGAAAAAGTTCAGAGAAGAGCAACTAAGATGCTCAAAGACCTGGAGACTAAAACATACAAGGAACGGTTGCAGGAACTGGGGATGTCTAGTTTAATGAAAAGAAGGACCAGGGGAGACATGATAGCAGTCTTCCAATATCTCAGGGGCTGCCCCAAAGAAGAGGGAGTCAAGCTATTCTCCAAAGCAACTGAGGGTAGAACAAGAAGCAATGGGTGGAGACTAATCAAGGAGAGAANAAGCTCACGCCGGCTGCTTCGGTGACTCCATCCAGCCACTTCATTCTCTGTTGTCCCCTTCTTTTGCCTTCAATATTTCCCAGCATGAGGCTCTTCTCCAGGGAGTCCTTCCTTCTCATTAGGTGGCCAAAGTACTTGAGTTTCCTCTTAAGGATCTGGCCTTCTAAAGAGCAGTCAGGGTTGATCTTCTCTAGGACTGACTGGTTCGATAACCCCTGCAGTCCAAGGCACTACCTGTGTTGGTAGGGGTGTGGTTTTCTCCTCAATAGCTTTTACCACTCTAGCAACCAACATTCAGGGATGGAATTTGTGTGCACCTTGTGTAGCCTGGGAGAATCTCAATACCTCAAGGTCGTACGATGAGACCCTTCTGAGCTGAGCAGACTGTGTCCCAAAACAGAGAGATTGTGCTGGATTGGTGGACATTGCACATGTGGGTGGCCCAGAGGGGGGGAAGGGGGATTTTTAACTATGCAATTTGCGTGGGAAAGCCCCAGAAATGGATTCGCTTCTTCCGTACCGTGTACAGATCTATCAAGTAAAGTTATACTCTTGGTAAAATAATGTCTCTTTTGCTGCATATGCCAAGGGGATGGTTGACATCAGCCTTGGTTAAGTTTGGGAGAATCTTTGTCATTGGGGACGAGGGGCTGCCTCAAGTAAAATTCCATTCTTGATTCCCCACATTTTTTAAGCTGTGCCAAAAGAGTGGCATCCAAACCATTGGTGCTGCTTCCTAGATTTGAAATCTAGCAGTGAAGATGGTGACCTCTGGTACTGAAATGCAGGTAGTCCTCGACTTACGACCAACTTTGAGCCCAACTTTCTGCTGCCAAGTGAAACATTCGTTAAGTGAATTTGGCCCCATTTTATGACCTTTCTTGCCCCCCGTTGTTAAGCGAATCACTGCAGTTGTTAAGTTAGTAACGTTGTTGTTAAGTGAATCTGGCTTCCCCATTGACTTTGCTTTGTCAGATGGTTGCAAAGGGGGAATCACGTGACCCCCGGACACTTCCACCGTCATAAATAGGAACCTGTTACCAAACATCCACATTTTGATCACATGATTACGGGGATGCTGGAAAGGTTTTAAGTGTGAGAAACAGTCCTAAGTCGACTTTTTTCAGTGCTGTTGTAACTTTGAACCTTCACTAAATGAACGATTGTATCTCGAGCACTCGCTGTAGTAGTCTTTGTGCCCCATCTTGATTCAGCTCTCTGTGCCAGTGTTTCTCAACCTTGGCAACTTGAAGATGTCCGGACTTCAACTCCCAGAATTCCCCAGCCAGCATTCGCTGGCTGGGGAATT